ATATATATATATATATATATATATATATATATATATATATATATATATATATATATATATATATATATATATATATATATATATACGTGAATAAGGTATGATAGTACATATATCTTATGCATCTAAGTTCTCTTCTATTCGAGTACACCCGACAGGATGATTCTTACTTATAGATCACATCTGTACGGATGAGTCACTGAATATTTATGAATATCGAGAGTAGTAACAGATAAAGAAAGTAGTATATTCCTCATGCTAAATGATTCTGACAAGATGTGAGAGAATATAAATGCGACGTGGCATGCCCGTTCACATCTAATGCGACGACTGAGATTTCAATGATAGTAGTAGATGGCAAATGTTTAAAGGGGAAAGCCTGCATCGTATATTATCTTTCGCAGTTTAGAAAATCGAATTGAAAACAATCAAATATGCTGGCATATACATACTGCGTGGAAGTTTTGTCTCTCGGCTTAATGGATTAGCAAATTACATCCTTCGTTTTAATTCTTTGACATGTTTAGGATGATCGTGTAGAAAGAGTATTTCCCGCAAAATACAATAAAATATGCAAAATAATTGATATATATATATATATGTATATATGTATGTATGTATGTATGTATGTATGTATGTATGTATGTATATACACCTATAAGTAACACGACATAGTGATGAAAGTAGTAAAAGTAGAACAGGAGTAAAGGTAGTAACGATAATAATGATAAATAGTGGTAACAGTAGTAGATATATATGATCTTGTTGGATAAAATGCTACGCACGATGACTCGGTGAATGCAAATCAGTTCATCTATTGCTCACCTCGCTCCCGAGATAACCGAATTCGACATATTTACGGCTCCACTGAAGTCGTTCATATATAAATATAATTCGTATTACTCTCTAACATGCTACCAGCTAAAACACGGCGATAGATGCTAACAGATGCTTTGTAGCTAAGCTTGCAGTAATCAAATTGACCTGTACAACTCACGAGAATAAGTACTGTAACTATTGCCTCTTATAAAAATTACCTTCTCAGTGTCTGATAGAAATGTCTGTATATTTCTGTGATTTAATATATCCACTATGTGTAACGAGTTCAATACACTATGGCGCAGAGCAGTAGGCCGTGAAATATATTTTATAATCGTATATTCCATTTAAAACTATAAACATATAATTGGACGTAGTTTTAGCAGGAGGAATTTTTGCCATTGGCATGAAATAAGATAGTCTGATTTTTTGCTTGTTTAAGTAGCTACTACTCAGATCTCTGTATATATATGTGTGTGATATGGTTTTTCTGAGAAAATAATATAATTTTCTTTAATGTTTGGACATAACTGTATAAATTGTAAAATATTTTCGATTCCTGCTTACACACCTACGTCCAATTGATCAGTCGCGTCTGATACTAATAGATTATAGCGCATTATTTTTATTTAACATACCTGAATTTAATTCCCTCACGAGCGTCGACATGGCATTAGTAACGCTGTCGGCGGCTACCAGTAAGTCGTTTCTTAAGGATCGGCCCAAACTATTATTGGCACTGCTGGAACCGCTCCCTGGTAAGCTGTTTGTCCTGAACGCAGACCTGACATCGAAAATCTCTATTTTCTTGGCGCGAAGCAATTTCCAAATGAAAGTTTTAACAGAAATTTGCGGCATGCAACTTTTATTGCACAAGCATGATCTCATTCCACTTGTCGTAATTCTTTTATACATTCAATTCGCTACAGTTACTCGCGCGCGATCAAACATACAAGCGTCTACAAACTTGGTTTTAAATTAATGGCAAATTATCAACTGTAACAGAGTACACACATGCACGATCTCGGAGAGGAGAGCTACGATATTTTACTGGATTCTAATGATATACTCTAACAGAAGTAAGTCAATATGGCAAACGTTGTAAACGCATTACAGGTCCTTCGTGTCCATTTTGTCTAAGTGTTTGCCGCGCGTTTGGCTATTGCATTACTTGCAGGATAATATATTTACATATCGCAACGTTTACGTGTGATAAATACAACATAACAATGTTTAAAAAATGGCTGGTGTTTTTACGCAAGCTTTGCAACGAAACGAGGGGG